GAAAACATAAAAAAAAAAAAAAAACTGGGTGATGATAACAATAGTTATAATTAATGAAATAAAATTGACAAAACTAACTGGATGTCAGCGCGCTACAATATGATCAGTGGTCAGGCCGTTGACCAGTTCATTGAATCCTCCAGACATTGTTCGATGTCGGTACCCCTCGATTACGCTTCCGGGAAACGCCGTTCGTAGGGGGGCATTGGGTAAGAAGGAAATGTGTGGTGACACCGAAAGGGAAGGGGTAGGAGAAGTAGACGCTGTGACACCATTCGTTTTGGGTTTGTGGATGGGGTACGGAGAGAAGCGCTGTTGCCCCAGCCGATGGCTGAGCTCCATAAATCCAGAGTAACTCTGTTTCAGGAACGGGTAGAACTGGGCCGATGTAGAAGTGGTCAACGAAGCTAGACTGGGGGGTAGGAAGAAAGGACTGTAGAACGACGATGGGTACAAGTAAGGGAGCATAGTTGTAGGAGGAATCACCGCTGACCCCAGAGAGACATTTGGGTTCAAAATCTGGCCAGTTGAAGTAAGGTCAGAAGATGAGTGAAGGAGCGAAGAAGAAACGTTTTCCTCCAAGTGGTCACCGTCATGGTCACTATGGGAAGAGTCTGTATCTGTAGTAGTTCCGTCTATCGTCTGGCGATTGTTAGGCTTAGCACATCCTGAGGGACGAAGTAAACACAAACGTTTGTTCAGAAATACAATGATGTATTTTTTTTGCTACATTTATTGAAAGAACTTACCTAGAACAGTAATAACCACAATCTCTACAAGTACACAACTAATATTTCATTGTCTAAAACTCCGAAGACGTAAAATTGTAATTTTTCTATTTATCTGTTTCAGAATAAATAATTTTTCAGAATTAGAAAAAGAAAAAAAAGCTCTTAGAAATAACTAATAAAAAAAAGCAAAGCTCTCAATATAATTTTCAATTTCAAATAATGGAATACATTATATACTTTTTAACATCCATATTTTACCACGTTACAAAAATTCAAAGTTTTGTTGGAAAAAAACAACAACTCATTTTTACAAAACCTTTCTTGGAATCAAATTTTGTTCATTATTTATTCCGAAATTAACAACTTTAATAAGCTGTAGTTCAAGAAACTTCTTGAAATACCCAATTCCTGATAATTCCAAATCTTAAGAAAATCTCCTACAGTATCTAGTGGTACTATTTCAAGGTTTCCAAGAATAATGAGTTATAAGAATGCAACTCTATAGAGAACCATAATGAGTTATAAAATACAACTCTGTCGGTAACTGTAATGAGTTATAAGAATGCAACTCTATGGGTAACTGTAATGAGTTATAAGAATGCAACTGTATGGTAACTGTAATGAGTTATAAAATACAACTCTATGGGTAACTGTAATGAGTTATAAAATACAACTCTATGGGTAACTGTAATGAGTTATAAGAATGCAACTGTATGGTAACTGTAATGAGTTATAAAATACAACTCTGTCGGTAACTGTAATGAGTTATAAAATACAACTGTATGGTAACTGTAATGAGTTATAAAATACAACTCTATATAGAATTATAATGAGTTATAAGAATGCAACTCTATGCGTAACTGTAATGAGTTATAAGAATGCAACTGTATGGGTAACTGTAATGAGTTATAAGAATGCAACTCTATGGGTAACTGTAATGAGTTATAAAATACAACTGCTATGGGTAACTGTAATGAGTTATAAGAATGCAACTCTATGGGTAACTGTAATGAGTTATAAGAATGCAACTCTATGGGTAACTGTAATGAGTTATAAGAATGCAACTCTATGGGTAACTGTAATGAGTTATAAGAATGCAACTCTATGGGTAACTGTAATGAGTTATAAGAATACAACTCTATGGATAACTGTAATGAGTTATAAGAATGCAACTCTATGGGTAACTGTAATGAGTTATAAGAATGCAACTCCATAAAGAACCATAATGAGTTATAAGAATGCAACTCTATGGGTAACTGTAATGAGTTATAAGAATACAACTCTACAGAGAACCATAATGAGTTA